TACTAAGGAGATTGCTTAGAAGTAAAGGCAGAGAAAACTAAGTATATGTTGCTGTGTTGTCACCAAAATGCAGGGAAAAATCATGACATAAAATTAGGTAACATGTTTTGAAAATGTGGCACAGTTCACATATTTGGGAAGAATTGTAACAAATCATAACCTGATTCAAGAGCACGTTAAGAGGAGATTGAACTCGGGTAATGCTTGCTACCATTCAGTTCAGAACCTTTTGTCTTCCCGTCTGCCATCTAAAAGCATAAAATTTAGGATATACAAAAATATAATTTTGCCTGTGCTTATGTGACTGTGTGAAACTTGGTCTCTGTCATAAGGGAGGAACAGAGGCTGAGGGTGTTGAGGATAATATTTGGACCAAAGAGAGATGAAGTGACAGGAGGTTGGAGAGAACTGCATAATGGGGAGCTTCATAACTTGTCATCTTCTCCAAGTATAATTAGAACGATCAAATCAAGGAGGATGAGATGGGAAGGGCATGTAGCACGAATGGGGGAGAAGAGGAATGCTTATAGGATATTGGTGGGAAAGCCAGAAGTAATATTTGGAAAAGAACAGGTAGCAGGCCTGTAGGCTATTTGGGATGAATAACCTTAAGTTGGGAGCAATGTTACATGGCCACCAATTGCTAGCAATGAGATGCTAAACTAGTTACAGCGAAGGCAAGATTCTTGGTAAACAGTTCATTGCAATGTTACGCAACAATAGAGGAGGCCGTGTTTTCTGTAGATTCGATTGACGCGCCAGTAGACTGGTTGGATAGCGATCATGTGATGTCTTTCAACAAGGCCATGACAGCAACATTAAAACTAATTATCTACTCATAATCCGTTATTGCCTTCTCATCTCGATCACCGGCACACATCCATAGCAATTGATACAGCGTCTTTTGCGTGAGAATCCCACTAAGTGCATGTTTCTCTCAATTGCACTGACTTTGAGAGTTCACGTATGAACTATTTACACATTAAATTTTCCTTTACTTGATATAAATTAGTGCAAAACAAAGAACTGCCAATATCTAACATGATTAAGCTTTTAAACACAGCCGCATGAAATGTGAAGTCAATCGGGTTTTAATGTGAACAGACGTTTAGGTCTGTACTTAGCCATAAATAAATATTTCTAAACCATTCTGAAACCCACACCTACATTAAAGTAAGCTTATATTGAAAATAACGACGATAATAATGACAGGAACAACAATAGAAATACGCTAATAATAACTGCATCAACTATAGGAGGATAGTATATAGATTTAGTGCATTTAAGTTGGACAACTTTGATAAAATTATACAATGTGATGATTCTGGAACCGTGCATACCGAATGGTTAGTTCGTTTAAGGAAGATGTCCATTTTTTCCAGTGAACAGAAATAAATGTCTGTTAATATTTTTCAGTTACTGCAAGATTTACAAGATAACTGTAATTATATATATATATATATTGTAACGTGTTTCGTTACTGAAGACGCCGTAGAGATTGTTAATTGGTTTATTCAACAACCTGTATCACACACTCCCAATTACACAACTACACACACGTCCGGTTCTTCTTTCCGCGAACGCTGCTATACTCCAACTGTAGGCTGCTGCCTGGAGAACTCGTTACTCTCCACTGGCTAGATTGAGAAATGTCTTTGGCACTGATACCCTTTTACTCTCTCTGGGGACGGCTACAAGTTAACTCGACTACAACTGAACCTGCCGACGGCCACATTACAACTAACTCACGCTTACTGCTCAGTCGGCTTTTATTCCGTTCGCTGTTGCCTGTTGCCCGCGTCAACAGCGTCGTTGCGTGCCACGTAACAGTGTCTGCGTATAGGCTAGCAACGCTGTTACCTCACGCCGTCTTACTTCACCGTGCGGGGGGGGTTGACGGAGCTCTGACTCACCCGCCGCGTCACTGCTGGAAGGGGGGAGGATGCTTCTCTGTTGTGCAACATGTCACACTGCTCCCTCCTTAAGGCTGTTCGTCCCGAATAGCCTAACAGTGCATTCCCGTTCCTTTGCTTCGGAGGCTGTTCTTGCAGCATCTGTTCTCCGGCCGTTATAACCGCTCCCTTCTTAAGACCAACTCGTCTCGAGCGGTTTCCTTTCAGCTCGCCAGAAGATCCAGTTGTGTCCCATTCATCCATCACTTTCATTCTATGGCACATTCACTCTCTCTGGGGAGGCCTGTTCTTCTATTTTACCGGCTCCTCCTCTGTGCCCTGCGTCTTTTCGTTTTGGAGGGGGTCAACCCCTCCACAGTGTCCAGATTTTACTTCTCTGTAATGGGACAGGTGTGAAAATTCGCTTTGTGATTTCCAATCCCTTTGTCCTCCTGTGGGTCTTGTTAAATTCCCACTTGCTTCCAAGCCGTAGCTGGTCCTCGAAGTCTCGATTCTTTGTTTCCTTGGTGTCTTCCGGGCGCACCAGTTGTTTCCATCTGGGATTCCATTTTTTCTGGGTTCCTCTCGTAGGATGGTTTCTGGTCCAATTCTGCCGTTCCTGCTCGGCTGGCGGTCCTTTCCGCTGGCGTCCGAAGGTTCCCTGGGGAGTTTCCTTCTTGAAGTCATTTCTCCAATGTCGAGCCCCTGTCGCGCGACGGGATATCTTCCTACAGGTGGCAGCCAGCTTCATCAGGGGTCCACAGTTTTCCCGTGTCGAATTCTTTATATTTCGTCGATGTCGGTCCCTGCGCCTTATCTTCTTCGGTTCTCCGACCGGCATTACTTCAGCGTCTTGTACGAGTACTTCTAGTAGTTCTGCCGCCTCAGGTTTTCTGTTCGCTGAGGTCGGCTCTTCTTCTTCTGGACATGCCTCCATTTCTCGGCAGGCCATCTTCACTCCGACCGGTATTGCAATGGGGACCTCTTCTTGTTGTGCCGCCGTAGGTTTCATGTCAACTTGGCAGGCCACCGTCTCCTTTTGGGTAATCGGCATCAATTCATCTTCAGGTTCACTGAATGGTATCACTGCAACGTCGTCTACAGGGACCTCTTCTTCTTGTTCTGCCTCAGGTTTCATATCCACTGGGGCCGGCTTTTCTCCTTCTAGATGTGCCCCCATCTCTTGGCAGGCTATCGTCTTTACGTCTCTTTCGGGTTTAAATGCGTACACCATCTCCATGTGGCTGGTGCCCATTATTTCTCGCATGGCTTCCATCCTTTCCTGGATAGCTCTTGTTTCTGTTCGGGTGGCTTTCGTCCTTTCTTGGATAGCTCTTGTTTTCTGCTCTGGTGGCTTCCGTTTCTGCGACCAGCTCTTCTTGCATGGCGGCCATCTTTCCTCGCCAGGCTTCCAACCTGTCGTCAGCCCTTTTCTTGGCAGCTTCCCTCTGGGTCCTCAGTTCCTTCCACAGGAGTTCCAACATCTGCTGCATCTCCATTTTGTAGCAGTTAAATAGTCGAAGCAGTCCTAAGTTTAATTCTTCGAGGCGTGTTTAAGCTCGTAAGCCAATTCTGACACCAGTGTAGCGTGTTTTGAGTTCGAATCTTGTTGGTCACGTGTGTAAGTTCGGATCCCACTTCTGACACCAAATGTAACGTGTTTACGTTCGAATCCTGTCGGTCACGTGTGTAAGTCCGTATCCCACTTCTGACACCAGTGTAACGTGTTTCGTCACTGAAGACGCCGTTCGGATTGTTATTTGGTTTATTCAACAACCTACAAGTAACGGCTACAATTAATTATCACACAGTTGCGGGGTTTCACACTTTATAAACCTAATCGCAATAATCTGTTTACACTGTTTGCGGGGTTTCACGATTTATAACCCTATTCGCAAATCAATTCACTCTGTCTTAAGTAGTCTACATGTATTCACAGTACGGGAGCTATGTAAGTGTCCCTGTATCACACACTCTCAATTACACACATGTCCGGTTCTTTTTTCCGCGACTACTGCTATACTCCGTGTCACTCCTGATCACACAACATGATTCATTCACTGCTGACTTAAGAACTGTCTTTGGCGCTGATACACTGTTACTCTCTCCGGGGACGGCTACAAGTTAACTCGACTACAACTGAACTCGCCGACGGCCACATTACAACTAACTCACGCTTACTGCTCAGTCGGCTTTTATTCCGTTCGCTGTTGCCTGTTGCCCGCGTCAACAGCGTCGTTGTGTGCCACGTAACATTGTCTGCGTATAGCCTAGCAAAGCTGTTACCTCACGCAGTCTTGCGTCACCGCGCGTTGCGCGTTATTTCACCGTGCGGAGTGGGGGGTGATGGAGGCGCTGACTCACCCTCCGCGTCACTGCTGGAGGGGGGCTTCTCCGTTGCGCAATATGCCACACACACACACACACACACACACACACACATATATATATATATATATGGTGTCCCAAGAGGAATATGCCACACTGTGGGAGGATGTTCCTTATGTTAAAGTATGCTGATATAACCCAAAACACCTATGTCCAAACTTGAATGGTTACGGAGATAAGTGTGGTTTTCTCGCGGGTCCACTCACTGTACCTGTCAGCTGACATGTTTTATCGATGTTTGTCCTACAGTGTGGTGATGACGGCTCACACTAGCCGCATACACTCGCATACCAGAATGCGCAGGCAGCCGCGTTACGTTAGTGTTTGCCATTCATGTGTCATGTATAGTGCTTGGAACCCTAATGATATCTATGACATGGTGTTCGAGTTCTTTTGTAGTTCAATTTAATGGCTTCATGTCACTAACAAGTTAGTCTGTTACGCACATTATTAACATTACAGAAACCACACATTCCTTCCAGAATTAAGATGTATCAACAAGAGTGCAACACCTATCAAAGTTTCACAATTCTCTGGCAGTTATCTCCGTAACCGTTCAACTTTGGACATAGGTGTTTTTGGTTATATTGGCATACTTTAACATAAGGAACACCTTCCGAAGTCTGGCACGTGCCTCATGGGAAACCTGTATATAATTTGGCCCATTGCCTAGAGACAGTGATGCTAAATAAGTAAAGAATCAGTTGTCAAAGAACTTACCATGACGCAAAGAAAAAGAAAGCTGTAATTATTCCCGTTGCCAGGAAAAATACTCGGTCCAGCTGGAACACAAACCAGTACGAAAGATATATAAGAATTAAATCTAGCGGGAACTCATCTACTGATCAAGTGACTAAGTTTCTGAAAGATACCTTTCCAAATATATGGAAATTTATTATTTTCCAAATCCCTTCGAGGAAATTTGAATGAATCTCTCTCTCAGAAACATTTCAATACATCATTTAGCCAAAATTGTTATGGCTTTGTAGTGAGCTACTTAGAGACTAGCTAGAGATTATGCATAAATTATTGCTTTTCTGAAACCTACCTTTAATTCTCCATTCACAAATATGAAATCCCGTATTATCAAACCTGAAAAATAATAAATAAAACGACATGAGAACGCTACACATATGCACATTTACACTCCAAATATCTCTCTTGTTACAGTAATGCCAATTTATTCTCTTTAAAAGAGCAGGGCAAGCCCAGGTAATTTCACAGCATGGCAACCCCGTAAAACTCACAGAGTTATTTCACTGCCTGTTTAGATGAGTGCAGTCAATTGTAGGCAGCTGAAGAAATTCTCTGACATTTGTGGAAAATGAAGATCTGTTACCACTGAATGTGAGGTTCTGACAGCAGTGACTACTCATACGAATAACACCGTTTTATAAGGAGTAACACTGTGTGATTTGGAAAAAGCTGACGCTTCAGAGGAACACACCACCATTTCTGCAGCTTAAGAGCAAGAAAACCACAAGCAGTAGGCAGTTCTGCTTGCTGCCTTCTTTGTGATGATTCTTGTTTGGCTTAATCTTTGAACTCTGAAGAAGGAGGTGACATGTTCCTCTGAAATGTCAGGCTCTTTCAAAACTATACAGCTTTAAAACCTACAAGAACATATGCTTTACTTATTACGATGTATCAAAAGAGTCAGCCAACTGGTCCTGAGCCAGTTCAACATAGTCCACACATCAATTTCATAGGATCAGTTATCTTAGAATAAATTATGAATCAGAACAGGCCAGGGGGTCTAATGAGAGATGGTGGAATAAGAAATATAACTGATTTGGGGAGGCTTGATAAGCTGAGCATTTGATTTGCTCTAAAGCCAGTTAAAGAAATAAAATAAAATAATCAGACTGCCAGTTGAAAATATCCAAAGCACTATGCATTTGGGGATGAAGCAGGATTTTTCTTTTCCACTCAGTCATATTTGTAATTATTTCAGGGTGGAGAGGAGTTTGCAGGACAAGTTGGCTTAGTGTTTGTGATTGGAGGAATGGTGGGCTCTGTTATCTTTGGAATAATACTAGACAAGACACACAAGTTCAAGTAAGTCAGTCTTAGTTGATAAACACTAACTGCTGTGGGAAGAATTTTGTCACTTTCTCTGATTTCAAATAGCCAGTCTGGTATATTATAAATAAAGTTAACATAACATGAAATAATGCTGTAATCCCGTAAGAGAGTGATGGAAATCAGACATATCCCATATATGGTGGCAGAAAATTAATGTTTTTAAAATTTTGTTACTGAATCTTTAATTTTGTAATGTTTTAACTATGTGCAAAAATTCCAGCATTATCATTATTAAACACAACTTCTAACAGAGTGGCAATTCTTATAATGTTTGATAATGTTAGCTTGTATTGTAAACAGTTCACATCCTAGGGTTAGTAAAAACGGTAGACACTGTGGTACAGAATGTTTTATTCATAAACATGCTTCCAGACTCATTACAGAATACAAGAACATTACCATGCAGTCATTTCTAAATAACAATATTCCAATTATGTTGATTTACAGTTCACTGAATTATGTACTGATTTCATGTAACTGGGTCTATGGTCTGTCCCTCATGTATCTTTTGTTTTCACATTCAAGAGTTTATTTACTGAAATAACAAACTGCTGTGACAAAGATGAAACAGCATTTATGTGTCTGTAAGCTCCTCATATCAGTACTGATGAATTTCTTTAATTAAAACTTTTATGGTCCAAGGAATAAAACATATTTGTGACCTATGCTAAATTAATTTCTCCCACAGGGAAACTACAGTTGCTGTATATGGATTTTCAGCATTGGGCATGTTGGCTTTTACCTTCACTTTAGGACTTGGATCTAAAATTCTTGTTTACATAACATCATCTTTTGTTGGCTAAGATGATCAGCTTGAATACTTAACTGAAACTCAAGTTAGGATGCAGGTTAATATCAAATCATCTTAAAAGTATGAAAGCAACACTGAATTCATATGCATTGCAACTACTGATTCTTAATGGCGACTGCCAAAAATAGGTCATCTTTTTCATTTTACATTTGGATGGCTCATTTTTTTACTGCTTGTTGATAAGACTAATCACTTTTGGACTTCCACTGGAAAATATATGATAATGGTTTAATGTTTTCACTTAGATGTTTTTTGGGTGGATATATGCCTGTTTGATTCAAGCTGGGGTCTGAAATTACATATCCTGAACCAGAGGGCACTACTGCAGGAATAGTGATTCTTGGGACACAGATTCTGAGTGTGTTCCATGCCATGGCCTACAGCTGGATGGTTCATGTGACTGGTGACTTCTGGGCTAACACTGTCCTGACCATCACACTTCTTATCGGAACTGGATTGACTGCCATGAACCCTTCAGATTTACGCCGACAAAATGCACATAAGGCAAATATGCTGCATGACAAGTCACTGTAGTACAGAATGCAAATATGCTACATGTCTGTCCGATGACAGTAGCACACAAGGAAAAATGTGCTACCTGTCGGGCAGATAAATGTAAAAAAGAATAAAATTTGTTATATGTCTGATGGATCAGGGTACACAGGAACTAAGTATATTACATATCTGACATACTACTGTACCAAAGAAGCGATTCTGTTGTAGCAACGAACCAAATACACTGCGTGCTTGACACATCATATGTATAACATGTTTAACAGATCACTTAAAAGACACAAGCCAAATATGCTGCATGGTCAAAACATAACTGTAACACACAAGCCAAATGTTCTACAAGCCTGACAGATTCCTGTACACTTTGTTGTGTCTGGTACAAAAAATAAGGTTACAAATTGATGATACCATATCTACATGTGCCATATTTCATTTCCACAATTACAGAAAAGATTTCAGTTACATTTAATTTTGATGGTCTATACTGAAATGTGGGGACTGCAACTGTGCTCAGTCTAGAAACTGCTGGTGTAATGTGACAGTGAAAATGAACATTCAGGCATTTTTGTGTCTTGTTGATGTTATTGTAAAGCTATTGTATTTTTTGTTGAATACTTTCATTACTCATTCATTCATTTTTATTTTATCCCGCAGATCAATATACATTAATATAGGATATGTCCATGTATATTATTATCGAAATACATTAATGATTATGGTATAAACTTATTAGAAACATAGCTTATTCTACACATCTGCTCGTCAGTAGCCAATATTATAGAATTCTTCATTCAGATAATCTTCCATTGAATAATAGCATCTCTTAATAAGTAAATCATTCAATTCCTTTTTAAACTGGTTCTTGTTACCTATTTGTTTTTTGCTGTTGTTAGGCATTTTGTTGTAGCTACTGATGGTTTACTTCTATAAAGTTCTACATCATTTACTATGTATGACAGTCATTATTTCTTGTGTTATATGTATGTGCTTGTTTATTTACAGCACAGTTACACTTTTCTTTTGCATATAAGGTTCTTTCTTGAATGTATGGTGAGTATACTGTTAATATGTTCAGTTGTCTAAAGCTAAATCTACATGATTCCAGTTATTTTAACGCTGCTGGATACCTTACAGCCCCTTTTTTTGGGGGTAAATATTCGTCTAGCTGGTGCCTTCGCATTTGGTCCCCATGCATTGATTCCATATGCCAGAAGAGGTAAATCAAACAATAATACACTATTCTTCTTACATTCATGTTACGTACTCACATTTTAGACAGTCTATGGCTAGTTATACTACAGATTCTTTCAATATGTACTTCCCAGCCAAGGTTACTGTCAATTATCCCAAAGGAATTTAGTACTGTCCATGTTACCTTTTTCTCTATTCTTTATTAGGATCTTCAATTCACTTTCCTGCGTGCATTGTTTCGTCTGGAAGAGAATGTAGTGTGTTTTGGTTGGATGTATAGATAAATTACTTGTTTCAAAATATTGCTCTACTAAGCTCTAACCGCCCCCAGCACTGCATATGGCATATATAATATGTATCATTTCTGCCTGTTCATATGAAATAATTTGCCTCTGACAAGATTGTGATTACATTTGGTGGCTGCAACAAAAATATAACTGATGTAAGCAAAACATCCCTTGACAAAACCACAGTAATTTATTCAACTCTGATGAAATGTGACATACTTAATGCTTGCTGAAAGTTGTGACACAGATTGGACACCTAGTGAAATTGCTCTATTATTGTTGCCATTTCAAAATGTAGACACGCTAAGTCCATTGCAAGCTAATATCTGAAGTTGGAATGACATGGAGTAAACGACAAAATTAGAAGAGTGTTAAGAGCTATGCTTAAATTTCAGTTTATGAGACCTTAGCAAAACCAAAAGTATCACTCAGTTTTCATAGGATTCATTCCATGAAGCAGAATCTATGAAAAGTTTACAGGGGACCACAGCAAAAACAAAGGTGCATATTTTTTTATGGGCTGGTATGAAATATTACTGTCAAGACTGCTTCATATTCAGGCGGTTCCTGGTTCAGATTTCAGTTGGGAGACCAATTATCTTGCTTGAGAGCTTTCATGTTCCTTCACGGTCTTCCAAGGAGATCCTGGGAAGTACCAGAAATTATGTAAGATTTGAGGTTTTCACGGTGGTGACTATGAAGAAAGCCATCATCTGGGATGTGGTGCTGTGTAGAAATTGTGTTAACCAACGTTTCGGAGGAACGTATCGCGTCCATCTTCAGGGTGGAAGACAAGAAGAAAACCGCAAGCAAACCAGCAGAGTAGTGCAACAGACTGAGTCCAGTCGAGTAAACACAGCTGTATAAGAGAGAAGGATTATGGCTACATTGGGAAATAGTAGAGAGGAGGAGGGAAAGGGTCTGGTGGAATAGCCAGCAAGTAGGGGGCCAGAGCTGGTATAGAATACGTATTAGGGGGAGAGAAGGGAAGGTTAAAAGTAGGGCATTAACCCTGTAGCTCAGGGGCTGTGATGGACCTGAGTGGCCTATTGGATCTGCCGTATTTCTTAGGTTACTTGAGGGAACAGATGAGAGGCTTCCATGACTTGCTGAGACAAAACCCCACCTCTCTGTTCATACTGTCAGGATGGAGTTCAATCTCAATGGCCTCCCTAATGATGCGATCCATATAATGAGTCTTGTGACGAGGATGAAGGTATTCTGAAGCTGAATGCGGTGTCCCAAATCTTCAGTAAAACGATCCAGCTCTCCAGCGATGTCAAGTACCTTGGTCTAGTATTAGACAAGGGACTGACATGGAAAAAGCAGCTGGACAAGGTCATTAATAAAGCCTATAAGGCTCTTCAGACATTCAGAAACATGTCTCAGGTGTTTATAGCCTTAGTGTTTTGTGACATCGGTTGTCCAATGTTTGAGGTTAGCTCTTTCTAAGGGACCCAATAGAGCAGGTGTCTTCCCTCACCTAAGGACGGAAACGGATCCAGTTTCCGAAATGTTGTGTTTTTTACTTAGTTATTTAGAATCTGGATGATGGACAAAGACCGAAAACCCAGTACCTCTCTATGCAGAAGCATGTTTGGTAAAGCTTGGGGACTGCAGCCACATGTTTTGCATTGGATATACGCTGCGGCTGTAAGACCCATAATTACATACGGCACCAGAGTATGGTGGCCCAGAGTTAAACTCAAGACAAGAAAGGCAGAACTCAGCAAATTGCAGAGGTTGGCTTCCTTGGGTATCACAGGAGCAATTCGAACATCTCCAACAGCTGCACTGGAGACACTCCTTGGACTCCCCCCACTGCATCTACAGTTGGAGGCAGAGGCCAGGGCAGAAATTTATCGTCTGCAGTTCAGTGGACGATGGAAACCTAGATCCGATGGTTTTGGCCATGCAGACAAGACTCAGGACATCAAAAAAGAACCCATATTACAAATGGGGTCTGACAAAATGATATTGAGTCATGTATGTGAAAAAACCTTTCACAGTCAGGTTTCCTGACAGGAGTGAATGGGAAAACGGGTTTCAGCCTGACAGATAAAGGGGACTGATCTGGTATACAGATGGTTCCAAGATAAATAAGGGCACTGGAGCTGGTGTGTACTGCTATGGCATGAGGCAGAAACTCAGTTTCAGCCTTGGGCAGTACACGACAGTATTCCAGGCAGAAGTATATGCCATTAAGGCATGTATTGTGGAGAATCTAGACAGGAACTACAGAAATAGGAACATCTACATTCTGTCTGACAGCCAGGCTGCACTTAAAGCGCTTGACAAACACCAGATCAACTCAAAATTGGTCTGGGATTGCCACCAAACTCTCATGGAACTGCCCAAACATAACAGGGTACAACTGATATGGGTGCCGGGGCATGAGGGTATTGCTGGAAACGAAATAGCAGACCAATTAGCTAAGATTGGAGCTGAACATCCATTCACAGGACCTGAACCAGCCTGTGGCATCTCTATAGGAGTTGCCAGAAAGGTACTCAGGGCCTCGACATATATGAATCACAAGAAATACTGGGGATCCTTAACTGGACTCAGGCAAGCAAAGGGACTTATTAAACGTGTGAAGGAACAGTTGAAGTTAAACAGGAACCAGCTATGATGGGTGGTAAGACTACTTAAGGGCACTGTCACCTCAAAGGACGCCTCTTCAAATAGGGACTAAGTTATAGTCAGACTTGTGAGAGGTGTCAAGAAGAAAATGAAACAGCCACACATATCCTGTGTGAATGTGAGGTCTTAGCTTAATTAAGATTGTCACTTGGGTCAATACTTTATGGAACCAAGTGACTATTTTGACATCCCCATGTACAAAATCCTGTGCTCTATTTGAAGCGCGGAATTGCTGAGGGGTAATCAAAAGGGGAAGCACAATATATTACAGTAGGTCTTGGTGCAAGGGCCCAGAGGGCCAACCCTTGTAATTTATTCATTCATACATACATTACATTACATTCCATTCCATTCCATTCCGTAGATCCAAAGTAAGTCAGAATGACTGTAGGATGTGGAACAAGTCATACAAATGCAAAAGCCATAAATACAGTACAACTAAGAGACGCGCACGCACTGTGATTTTAGTCCGCAAGTGAACTATACCGACCAAGAGACCGCCACTTGTGGGCGAAGTTTAGTGCCAACTTTTGCGGACAAGGGATGTCGCATGGGGAGAGCAACGAATCCCCGCGGCCATGAATTTCGGTTTTATAGACCGGAGCCGCTATTTCCTTGAAATAGCTCCTCAATTGTCATGAGGCTGAGTGGACCCCGTTCCAGACCCACTACTTCTCCAAAAAATCTGGTAGCGCCAGGAATCGAACACAGACCTCTAGATCTGTAGCCAGGAACTCTGACCACTAGACCACAGAGGAGGTCCGAGACACACACACACACATATATATATATATATAAGTCAGTACTGTCAATTTATGCTATGTACATAACCTTTTAAAAGGAAGAGTCATTTTTAGACAGTAGGAATTCATCAACAGAGTAGAATGAGTGTATTTAACATCGTTTTGATTTGCTCATATATTCTTGTATATGTCACTGAGAATGTCAGTATTTTAAGAACATGATGGGGACAACCGTCTGTAACATCACCATATATATCTTGTGAAATTATCAAAATGTACGGTATCAAGTTAAACTATATGATTATATAGTTAGTTATTGGAGAGGGTGGGTTTCCCCATGCATTTAGACCAGTATTGGTCTATTGTGCTTCCCTCTTACGATATTCTACCAGTCTGTATACCCTACCGATATTGGTGCATACCATCAGTTCCGACCGAGGCAGCGAGCTCGGCCTCTACTGACTTAGCGGTATCTATAGTGCTCCCCCCATCTATCAGAGGCGTTAGAGGCTACTGTTGGGCGGGAAGCGGAAACGTTTCCTGGTCACTCCAACGTTACAAAAGAAATTCTCCTAACCATCACACGTGGTTCGTATTACGTTTCAGGGTGTCAGCTCGGAAAACGTCTCCAGGAAACTAATAGTTCCCCATTGCTGTCAAACAGCCGACTTCGCAGTAACCACTTAACTCCCGAAGATGAGTGTATTACAAATGTATAACACTGCAATACGATATTATGACTTCTCACCTCATTCGTGATAAACGTAACATAGATTTAAATTTTGAGCAAGTAAAAATAAAAAGGTGAACGGAGAAGTTCACGGAGGTAGGCCCAGGCCCACTGGGGCTGTAGAGCCAAGGGGAAAAAAATAAAAAGGAACAAACAAATATTAATTAATGACTTCCATCTAATATTAAGATAGCACGAAAGATCAGCGTCAGACTCTCCGAAGAATAATTTGGCCTGAATTGGCCATATTGCATATCGTGACCGTAGCCGATCACAACCACTGTACGCTGAAGACATCTTACAGAGAATCAAGGAGCTAAATTGTAAACAAATTGAACCATAACTATAGTTAACATTCAATTAATAAACTTGACTTAAATTTGTCACATCACCTTAGGTCGGATAGCCCTCCATGTAATACCTCTGGATGGCTACCTCACCTACAGTAACACTCAGCATCTCTAGATAGTGCTATTCAAACAGATCCTTAGATAATATAGCAACATCTCCTGCTGAGTCAGTTGCATGGCCTAGAATTAATTTGTCTTATCTGTTACATACATAATTAATTATTACACAAATAATTTCTTCCAATAAATAAGCACATACAGGAACCAATAAATCAGTAACTCACGAGAATGAATACACGATATGCAGCTCCTTCGTGTAGTAGTACTTAAATATTTTTAAATCTCTTTCGAATGATACAGCAGTTCCTTAAGTCATTAATCAGTTACTTATCGCTGACACTTTTCGTTTCTTCTACATATGTCATGGCCACTTCACATTTAAAGTGACCAAAGTTTCCTAAAAAATAAAAGTCACTCACATTCTGACTATATAAGTACATCATTTGAATCCTTGAAAAATTATTATCGTCCCTTTTGACATCCACATACCACATAACTCTCTCTCTGTTGCAATTTAATATTCCAGACTCTTTATAACTGTAAACAGTATCACAACATCACGGATTAAATTTCCTTTTTCTTCTAATTCTACATGTACTTACTTCATTCTTTTACCTTAATATAATTAAAGAACGGTACAAGTGAATCATTCAGGCAGTTGCCGCACAAGTAACAGCTGACGTGTCGCAAAGGCTTGTTCCACCCATGTAGTTTGAGGAACCCTGAGTTTGATGTTGGGGTCATGCCCTCTATTATAATCTATAGCGTGTCAAAAGGTTAACCTGCCTCCACTTAAAAATAGTATACTGTCACGTGTTGGGTGTATAACGCGACAAATAACTTCACGCCGTAATGGATATAGCGAATTTTATTTCACACTCGCTCATACAATCACATCATTTACTGTTTCACAATTACTGCTATATGCAGTATTACAATTCCTTGGCCTGCGAAGGCTAGACTACAAGTGACTGGTTGGCTGACTCACTGCTGGTTAACTCGTAACTAACTTGAATAGTCTTCGCTGCTCCTTATTTAGTCCAGTTACAGACAACACAGAAAACAGTTACGTAATAGGAACCATTGTTGTCTGACGCCGTGTTTGCCGACAGCCTAGCAACGCTGTCGGGAGTTGTTTACGGCTACGTAGCAACTGCGGCGTCCCGTGTTACGTCACCGCGGGGAGAGGCGGGGTGTTGACTGGCTTATTACCATAGCAACGGCAGGCTCCGAAAGTGTTACGTCACCGCCGGAGAGGGAGGGGGTGTCCTCCATAGCGCAACACGTCACAATACCTACCCCTGTTATTTTTATAAATCTGTATTCCGCCTGCGACCTATTCTTCAACAAACTCTGGTGTAACTTGAGATTTGTGAGGGGTTCATGTCTCGAGACATTGGGCTGCAACCTTAGATCAGATTATGCTAAGAACGAGACAAGAGTTTAAGAGTGCATTTTTGTCTGGGTTGTTGCTAGGAGAAGGCTGGTCAGGCTTACGTCCGCCAGAGCTTGTATGTAATATACACGCAGTTCAAGAAATCCTCTATACGTATTCTGTAGTGAGTGGAATGTGGTTCTTTGTGGTTGGAATGAACGCTCAGGCAGCCAACTGACAATCATTATAATTGAAATAATATTATTACTGGATGTAGTTGGTTGAGGGGATATGCTACAAACCGGAAGGTCGCGGGTTCAAATCCCGATGAGGTCATTGGATTTTTTAAATTGACCTAATCCTTCCGGCCGCACTAGGCTCTGGGGTTTACTCAGTCTCTAACAGAAATGAGTACGAAGAATTAATTAAATAATTTTTCAATTGACCTAATCCTTCCGGCCGCACTAGGCTCTGGGGTTTACTCAGCCTCTAACAGAAATGAGTACGAGGAATTAATTAAATAATTTTCCTGGGGAATAAAGCGCGTCCGGCGCTTAAGGCTGACAACCTTACCGCCATCTTTGAGCCGACTCTCTAGATAATGTGGGACCCTCAACGTCTCACAACCCTATGGCCTTCACGGCCTGGTACAGGGAGAGCTTTACATTTTACTTTACTTATTACACTACCGTTCGGCCATCGCAATTCAGTCAGCCCACCAACATCTTGGGTCATGACAGAGGGGTAAAATAGAAATTTAAAGAAAAAATGAAAGGCAAGGAAATCTAACAATAGCCGGTCACGGTAGCCGAGCGGTTTAAGGCATGTACTGTCTTCGCTCGCTTGGAAACCGGGATCGTGGGTTCGAATCCCACTCAGGGCATGGATGTTTGTGTGTGTTTTTCTGTGTTTTTGTACAGGTAGAGGGCTTGCGACGGGCTGATCACCTGCCCAAGGAGTCCTACAGAATGTGTAAGATCTAGAAAAACCGAAGTGAACGGAGAAGTTCATGGCGGTAGGTCTAGGCCCACTGGGGCTGTATTGCCAAGGGAAAAAATCTAACAATAAACATAATTTTCTTAATTGTTAATCATTACACACAACAAGCAATTTTATTTAAGCGGTCAGGAAACCTCATTGAATAAGTTGATAAATCATCCATGAAGTAAGCAACGAACTCCGCTCTCTCAGAGCACAGTGCTAATTTAAGTGCTTCTAAAGAAGCTAAAAACATAGAGCGCTGTCCTAAATTGATACAGTATTGAATGGAGCAGGAAAGCAATATATGGTCTTGATGTTTCCTTCAATTTTATCCGAAGAAAAGTCTGAGCGAGTTTTATGAAAGTCATATACTGGGCTCCATGAAATGTCTGAAGTAGTTCATGTAGTGGAGGAGTCCTCTCACGGTCCGGTATCGTCACGTGGTGTATGCAGCGAGCATCTATACACAGCCTAGGGCTTCCCCTTTCCCGGTTGGCTATTGTGATCGGGTTGATCTATGAAGAATGAGAGATTTCCAATATATTATACTCAACCATCCGACATACCGTACAGCAAAAGGAGCCGCTCTGGAATAGCACGCCACTGATCTATCATCTCTTATTTTGAATCCATATTCAAACAGATTACACTGTCCTGGTTTCGAAATCAAGCCACGCCTATATTTTTCCATTACTTCTATCAAACTTTATTTCTAGGGAATGGTTAAATCTCATTAAAATTTATTGCCTTGGCTAACTCAGCAGTAGAAATAACCTTATGACCTGGAACGTCATCATTAAATTTCGAAACCTGAATGGCACTAAATGAGCCCTTATTTTCCCTTGTACCATTAAAACCATGTAACTTCTCACTTTTTTCTCTTCCTGACAAAGGAACTCGAACCATCATACCGCCGTACAAACTGAACTCCATTGTCACCCTTTAATTCAAAACTGTCTCCAGTCAATAATACCTCAACTTCCCTCTCACTGAATTTACTACATATCTTCGTACTTCCTTCTTTCTCAGAGCTAGTACATCGGATACAAAAGTCAATAACACTGTAATGCCGTAGAATTTCGGCAAGGGTTTTTGTAACTTTTAGGTATTAAGTTATCTTGGGTTCACAGTAGAGAAGTTAGACGAAGGGTAATATTTGAAGTAGAATGCGGAAGTGGCAATGTCAGTGAGAAATTGTCACATTGCATAGACTGCTTATTCATGCGGAAGAGACAGCAAGCGGCTGTACGGCCAAGGCGTACAGAGTGCCGACTCAGCGAGACGACCTGAGCAGATCCAACCCTCTTCACCGAGATGACCAACGAGAGACGGACCTTTGGGGGAGAATTCGCTCTCTTAAGGGGCTTCGCGATTAAACGAAGCACGATTCAGGAAAGAGGTGGTGTCAAACTACTAGTTTTAGGTAACAAAAGCGGATAATATTAAACAGGATAATGGAGGCTAGAATAGTTCAACTCGAAGAACAATTAAGAAGACTGACGATAGGAGTGAAAACGAAGGACCTATCGTTAGCAGCAAGAATAAAGGAATGGAGTGGCCATTCGAAGGCAAAGCCAGTGACGGAATTTCTAACACAGTTAGAACAATGCGCCCACGTCAGTAATTGGAGTACGGAAGACCTCGTTAACATTTTGAAAGCCAAGTTAACCGGAGAGGCTCTTCAATTTGTGAATGGAAAAGACGAGCTCACAGACGGGAGAGTGAGCTATGAGGTTGTGAAAGCAGCACGCGTAGACAGAAAAATTGGCAGCAAGGTTTCACTATAACCTGCTGCACAAGGCTACTCGGGGGAAGGGAGAGACCCTTATACAGTTTTTGGACCGTTGCCGAGCAATGAGTAAAAAACTATTAGGAAGAGCTCCGATCCAACGGAACAGCGCATTCGGAAAGAAGAGGCAGATTTCAGGCTCCTGACGAGCTTTATCTACGGAATGCGAGGGAAAGTAGGAAGGGAGTTAAAAATCCGCAACCCCGAAACGGTGGAACAAGCGTTGAGCATAGCCACAATGGTGCAGAACGCAAAGTGAATGGAGAAGCGTCCCAGGGACCACGAGACACTAGTAGCGAAAACGGTAAGAAGGGACTCCACAAAACCAAACCAATACAAGCAACCTTGGCGTCAGAACGGTCAACCAAGAGGGCCACCGAAACGACGACCACAGGAACGACGGGAGAGGAGCAAGGGTCAGGTACGACCCCCGATTACATGCTTCTCATGTGGACAACAGGGTCATATAGCCCGAAAGTGTGAGGCAAGCAAGAAGCCAACAACAGAGACGGGAAATCACTCCCCAAACTAATTTCGACGGTAGAACACCCCGTCAACCGTCGGAATACAGCCGCCTGGATACCACTCGACACAGCACGAGAGAACAGAGAATAATGTATTGAGCTAAATGTACAAAGGGACAGATTACAAGTTTATTATTGACACCGGAGCAGACGTGTGTCTAGTTCAACCATATGTGGGGGATGAGCCCACGAGGGAAATTAAGGAAGCGATTAGGGGCATAACCGGACAGGACTTGGAAACTGAAGGAACCAGACGGATAGAATTCGTCATTGGGGCCAAGCAGTACACCCACGATTTTGTGGTAGCGCCCTTTCCGATCCTGGAAGAAGGAATTTTTGGGCTCGATTAATTGAGAGGGCTAGGCGCCCTCATTGACATGGCCGCAGGAGAAATAAACCTGGACGGCCAGACAGTCAAGCTGATGTACCCTTCGACAGGAAGGAGGAAGGCAAATATTCAGAAGTCAACGGTTAGAAGGACGGAGCCACGACCTGAGGAAAATGTGAAAGAGGAAGCAAGGACGGCTACACGCAAAACCACAGAGTCAAGAGGACTAGTGGATGGCGAGATAAAGGAGGCCTCAGCCAAACCCAGTGATACAGAATCGTCAACAGAAGACGGGCAGGTGGAAAGACTCAAACAGTGGCAAGCAGTGTTGCCACAGTCGGTACACCTAGAACCTAGAACACTTTTGGTCACAAGAGCCAAGATAACAGATCAACAACGGAAAGCTGTGTCGAAAGCATCCCTCAAGAGATGGGTACATTCCGAACCGGTGGAGATAATGAAAGTTACTGTGCTGTCCATGTGTAGCGCCCTCTCCGACGAGAGGTCGGGTCTGTCATTTGTTAGTCAGTCTGTATTAATAAGTCCATTGTCTGTATCTACACATATTTACAATACACATTTATTTCTTATTTAAATGTACAATATATACAAGGCCTCAGTCAGCCCAGGCTAGGTACAGCAGGTTATGCCCTTGTGTGTGTGTATATATATATATATNTTATGTAATCATATACGTACGGGATTTTGAATGCCATATG